GTTACTTAAGTAGTAATTTCTTTTTCTTTTTCTTTTTCTTTTTCTGTTTCCCTCTCTCTCTTCTGATTAATCTTTTTTATTATTCGTCTTCCCTATAATTCCTTATTCTGGCATTCTCTTTAAATTACCAAATCCACCGTCGCGGTCCCTCGACCCGCAGCTGAAGGAGAGAAAATTGTGGCTGCAGCTCCTCTCGTCCTTTACCGGCCGGTTGGTCCTGACCTGTTGATTGTTCCCCAATCCTCCGCCTCTTCTTATACTACTTAATACCTGCTAGTATTGCTGCTGCTGCTGCTGGTCTTCCTTCAGTCCCCCCCGCCTGACGACCTTGCCTCTTTTTGTCTTTCTTCTTCTTCTCTATACTCCTTTTGGCTTGACGCAGGGACATCAGAGAAAAAGGAAAAGCAAAATCAAAAAGAATTACTTTTACTTACTTACCCTCCCACCGTTTTCTCGTATTCCCCACGTGTGTATCTCTGCTGCTCTTCACTGGGGCTGCGGCTCGAGGTTATTTTTGGACGCCGCATTTGCTGAGCCAACCGTGGGCTGTAATTTCTGGCCTTCCGATCAGATTGGGTTTATCATCTTCTGCTCTTACTTCTTATAATATCCCGGCCTGGCCCATCTCCGCATCTGGTCTCTCCCCTCCCCCCATCTTCCTTCTGTCAAACTATCACTATTCCTATTCCTCTTATTATTGATCCTCCTCCTTGCCTGAGACAGTTCCTGTGCTCAAGCTTTGACTCTTTGGTGACTGTTTCATCGCTCGTCTTCTACTTACCCCACCGCACCTCTCTGCTCTCTCCCTCGCTCGCTCCCGTTTCTTGTCTAGCCTTCATCGTCGCCATGGCTGGTCCCGGTGGTGGCCCTCCTCGCAAGAGCCACACCAAGTCTCGGTTCGGCTGCAAGACATGCAAGCGGCGGCACATCCGTTGTGACGAAACTTTCCCACAATGGTAGGTTTGTTTGTTTGCCTTGCTGCAAACTGCAGCTGTGTAGACTCGCTGCTGACCATCACAGCCGAAACTGCACCAAGCACAACTGTCGCTGCGACTACATGGATGTTGCCACGGTTCACGACGACGCATCCTCCATGCGCAACGTACCCGACCTGCTCATGTCCGCCGAAATCGAAATGGAGATCAAGAACTGGCAGTTCACAGGCGTCGCTCCGTTTGCTGAGCTGCTGCAGTTCCCGCGTACCTGCTGGACCAAGCTCTCGCTGACTGATCTGCGCCTGATTCATCACATTGTTGGCCTTTCTATCGATCTCCAGCGCCGGGGTCTCGCTAGCTGCACTATTTGGGCGCAGAAGATGCCTACGTAAGTGGTTGTTTGTTAAGCAGCAGCTTGGCAGAGGTACTGACGGTTGTATAGTTTTCTCGCTATTGCCATCGCTAATGATTTTGTCATGAGCGCCATCCTCACCATGTCCGCCTCCCACCTCGCCTGGATCACTCGCAACCAGGAGACCAAGCAGCTTGCATACCACCACCGCGGTGTTGCCATTCAGGGCCTACATAATGCCCTGGGGGCGTTTTCCAAGGACAACTGCGATGCAATTCTGGCTGCCTCGATTATCCTGTCGTGGCAGGCGTCGGAATGGCAGAGCTGGGCGTCCTTGCAGCAAGGTCTTACAACGGTAAGTAACTTTATCAGGCACGCTGATAGTGAGACTAACCCAAAGCAGGTCTTGGGTTCCATGCATCCGATGTGGAAGCAAGAGTCCGAGTTGGCCATGTTCTTGGAAAATCAGCGGTACCTGGGGTGCACCAACACCCCAGTTATGTCGGGCTACCAGTTCCAAGACGAAGACCTGGCCAGCCTCGACCAAACCGTCGTGGCACTCCAGGCCCTGCAGAAGCGGGTTGCACACAACCATGAGCACTACCGCCGTATCGGGGAACTCCTAGAGTTTGTACGACACTTCCAGCGAGATCTCCTCTCCCAAACCCCCGAACAGGCCTTTGAGCGCATGCAGCCGCTGCGGCGGTGGCTGTTCTGGCTTCCTCCTGCCATGCTGCGGCCTGAAGATGCCGACATCGGCTCGCTAGCCATTCTGGCCCAGTTTTTCGGGGTTGGAGTGGTCCTTGACAGCCTCTTCCCCAACTTGGGCGGTGCCTACCTGGGTCCGCTCTCCATCAGTCCGATCGAAGAGATCTACCGGATGGTAGTTGCTCGGAGCACAGCCGATCCTTTCCATCCCGATGCGCACCTCGCACTATCCGCCATGGATCTTCCCCGCCATATCGTCGCCAAGTACAAAAGCCGGCTTCAGTGGTCTCCGCGCACCTCCCTAGACCACTATTCCCCTGCACCTCCTAGTCCGTATCACAGCGTCCACGATTACCGCCTCGCCTCATCCTCTCCGTCTTCCGCCTCCGCCACCTACGCTCCTTACACTCCGCCTCTGCAGTCCCCTCCCGAAGTGACCATCGCCAGCCCCCCGTTTGACGTCAACGGAGCCTATGTGACGGCCCCGGCGTCGCAGGCCTTGTATCCGAGCTCCCCACGGCTGCTCTCGGACCCTCGTGACGATCTCTCGGATTACAGCCACGCGGGATCTCTGCAGCACTCCCCTGCGTTTCCGCCCCCATATCTTGGCGACGTGATGTGCGGGGGACTGCCACGGGTGAACAATGGCGGGCTGGGGCTAAATATGCAGCTGTACGAAGAAACTCCGGTGATGGTTGGGGGGTATAACACGGCACCCGAGAGGGGATGGCACTAGGGGCAACCTTGGAGTGATTTCATTTCTATTCCTATGTTTTACTTTTTTATCATCATCAGCTACGGAGCGGATACGGAAAACGGCATAAAGCGGGATCAGATGAACTGGGATAGGACCGCCAGGGTGTTTTGGTTTTGGTTTTGGTTTTATTTTTTTCTTTTGTCTTGGATTTTCTTGGGATGGGCGAAATAGAGGGATGGTATTGGAAACTGAAGCTGCTTGCTTGGCTGGTTGCTTGCTTATTCTCGTACGCTAGCGATATGAGTGATTATTTTGATCTGCATGCATGCATGACTTGACTGATCTGACTTGATCTGTTTGGTTGGTTTGATTTGAAGTGGCTTTGTTACGCTCGCGTGCTGTGGAAAGTGCGCGGGATGATGTTCCTAATGTGATGTGACGACTAACCGAATACGGTATATACCCTGAGATAACTAATGATGAACTACTCACTACTCAAGAACCAAGATCAACCATAGCCTACTCGTCCGTAGGGTAGTTAGTTAGTAGACTGCCAAGAAAGATATAATAATAGCTGTAACTGAAACAACGACAGTTTCACCACTTATCTAAGCGACAGATCGTACTATGCGTGATCACCAAGATTCTATCCTAGCAGGTAGTTAGTTAGCATCTAAGTAAATAAGTAGGTCTGTAGTTTTCTTTCTAATCATATAGTAATATCCCACTGGGACCTTGTTTCATCCCACCGATTAATCCAACTATGCCGTGAACAGTCTAGCGAGTATGTATACAGGATCCAATTAATATACAAGGATTGTAATATGTTCCTGTGATGAAGAAAGATTGTTGAGGAGTGATCTACACGGCCCCCATTTAACACGTGTTTAGGCCGTGTTTCTGGTGCTTCTAGCGCTGAACTAGGGGGGTGGAAGGATGGAGGGAGGGGGGTGATCTACTTTAACCCCCATGCTCCTGCTCTGTACAGGGATGGTACTAAGATTGTTTTTGATTACATGGGATGGGACTGGGATGGGATAGGACAGGGTGAGCATGAGGATATGTGTGTGGATGACCAGGATGGATGTCTGTGCATTTTTACTTGGCGAAAGTCACTTTAGTGACTAAGTACTCTTACTACTAGTGCTATGGGCGTGGTGGTGGTGTGATGTGACTAGTAGTAGGATTAAATAAGAAAAAATCCAACAGGGTTTCAGCTGAAACCAACAGTTACTATTTATTTAATTTGTATTATGGTGGTGGTGGTGATGAATTAGTAAGTACGTACTGGTTGAGGTGCGGTGCGGTTTGACCTTCCCACGTTTTCCGTTCTTTCTGGTCGGGTTAGGCTGGTCTGCTAATTAGATAGTTGGTTAGTTAGTTCAGTACTAGGTGGTATTTGGCCACGTGTGTCTTAGTCTAGTCTACTAAGTAACGTGTATCTCGGCTAGTTCGTTACTAGAAGGTGGTGAGATTAGTCTTGCTGCTCGCTTATGACGTCGGTGTTTTTAGCCTTGCTTATTGTGTCTTATTCTTCTATATTAGTACTCTGTCTTATCTGCTTGGCGTGTTTGTCCTCTATGTTAGAGTGATTATATTGGGATTACAAAGAGATTGTAAAAATGGAATTATGATATAGCTAATATAGCCTTGACTTGACCTGCATCGCAAGTAGCTTCTGGTGGAGTATGGGCTGAGGCCACGGGGGATTTCCGGATCGTGGCGGATTAATTACCGAGTAATTAGTTGCTGAATCCTTCCTGTTTTAGTGTTTGTGTCTGATTCAGTTGTTGTATGTGCGGTCTGTGTGTAAATTTGTCTGAGAGTTCCTTGTGTTTCAAATCAGACGTAGTACTGTGTTATTGTTGGGAGTTGACTATTTGTGAATGGATGGTTGATTGTAGGCCTACACAGCAAGGCTATGTAACTTAATATGTTGTGACTAATTATGGAAGTGAGTTTCAATTGCAGCCTTGCTGTTACGCTTTGATGCGCGTTTTATTTCGCTTAGCTAGATTGTTCAATATCTGTTGGTTTCCAGTCCTATTCCTGATTATATGACAGCGGAAGATGTAGGCTGTGTTGTGCTGTGTTGGACATCTGAAACGACGTCAAAGCTTTAGATGAGGGGTATTGCGGGATTATCTATCCTTCTATTGTCGCATTTATAGACCGGTCTAATATCATATCAGGGCGACGGAATCCTTCCGTAGCTAGCCAGAAGTGACACGCACTAGTCCAGGCAGTCTCTATCTATGTTGGTAAATCCATCCAGGTATCTGCGCATGCAACACTGGGGCCTAGCTGATCACTCCTGTACTGGCTGATCGTGTCGCTCATCAAAAATATTGAAGCCAATGTGGTTCTTCGGATCGAGGTAGCGGACTTCTCCTTTCTCCTTCGAAAGATCGGATATTGTTTCCATGTCCTTATCTGGCAACTGTTTCAGGTCGAGGTTCTCTACCATTCTGCTTTGTCGGACTGTCTTTGGAATCACAGATATACCTTGTTGGACGATCCAGGATAGTATTATTTGGGCCGGAGAACGCTCATGTTTCGAGGCTATTTCAGCTATCTTGTAGCTATTAGTCGCGATGGTTGTCACATGCACTTAGGGAAACTTACATCTGGATCATACAACGGACCTGGTCGGTCTGCGTTGGGATTGACAGCTGCTACTGGCTTGCCGCCGAGTGGCTGGTGAGCCACTACGTGAATGCCATTGGTTTTGCAGAACTTTACGAGCTCAACTTGGGGTAAATAACTACCGGACCGTAAGTCAATCCAAAAGTACGTAGTAGGACAGATTAAGCACTTACGGGTGAAGTTCGATCTGGTTGACTGCAGGAGGAATCCTGGCTGACCCGAGAAGTCTCTCGAGCTTCAAGATATTGAAGTTGGAGACTCCTAGTAATCATTAGTGTCTGCATTCCATGTTACATAGTACATGCATACCAATCATTTTCGCTTTTCCTTTATCGACCAGGCTCTCCATGGCTGCCCATGTCGATGGATAGTCTCTTGACAGTTCGTGGTCAATTATGGGCTGAGGAATGACTTAGTAAACCGCATGAGTATGATAGAAGAACTGTCAGGGGTATACCTTTCCATTAGGATGACGGATTGTGTTGTTATCCGGTCCAGGGCTGTATGCATGGGGAACTGAGTAGCTATTAGTGGGCGTTAGGCGGAGAAGGGATCTTCTTTCGCCATACAATGCATCAAATACAGGTCGACTATCCATGAAGGCAATCAGCAAGATACCCTGAAGCAGAATACAGGTGCATATACAGACCATAGTTCAATTGAAGCCTCTCCAAGCTGAGGTCGAGTGCTCTCTCAACGTCGGAAACACGGTGCCACGTCTGAGCTCTGAACAAAGAGTCAGCGTCCCGGGTTGCAGACACAGGCACGCAAGTGCTTACAGCTTGGTGGTAACAATGATCTCTTCTCGAGGTATTCCGCTCTCCTTGATGGCTTCACCGACCTCCCTTTCGTTTCCATAAGCAGTGGCGGTGTCGATGTGTCTGTAGCCGCAACGCAGTGCTTGTAGAACAGCCTCCTTGACGCTTCCGTTGCCAGCATCACCTTGAAAGGTGCCGAAACCGACAGCTGGAAACGTAGTAACGGAGATAGAAAAAGAAGTGGGAAGATGGTTGCCTCCTGTCATAGTTTTTGCTCTGAAAATATCAAAGGTATGGTGGGTGAATGAAGGAGGGGAATGTCAACTTGATGGAAAGGAGCGAACGCGGGGATGAGATGGAGAACCCCGCCGGAGTAGCGAGCAGGGGTGGTGTCAATCTCCACCCTTACTTTAAATGGATATATCTGGCAATCTAGTACTTATTGGGCTAGGATCTGGTCTTCTTCTTATAGCTACGGGTAATATGTCTTTTCGCTCCTTCCTTTGCAATGAATCGAATTTAAATATCATGTGTGAACGTCTTTTCATCAACAGCTAATCGTCAAGCCAGCTTGAAATTATAAGCGAAATAAGACATGCTGCATTGACCAATGGCTCATACGATTAGAAGTATGCAATATTATATGGTCCAGAGCTACCTCGCGACGTAATGAATATTCTAGCACTCAACGGGGCCGCTAGCTACCGTGGATGAAAACGTTCATAAGCGTAGCTGAGCTCTGCTGCTCTGAGGTATGTTAGACACTCGACATTTTGGCGTATTCCTCATAGCCCCCGGGAAATTTCGTAACAAGACGTCTCATTTCATCAACTACCCTGCTGGAGTTTAGCAACTACCTGGTTAATGAAGGATGATAGTGCACTTACGATTCTCGGAAGCTGGTGACCTCGGGAAAGAGGGCAGCTGCCTGCAAGTTAAATCGCCTGTTCTAAATCAGAACCGAGACTTCCTCCAGGATATCCAAAGACTCCCTTTCTTACATTGAGTACAGGGCATTCCGATCATCATAGTCTGCTTCTGGGGCTGACTTCGGGATATGTTTATGATAGGCATTGAAATAGCTCCTGGTAAACTTGTTCCGCTCAGGACGCCAGTTGCCCAATTCATCTGACAGGGTTAGCTGAATCCTTTACCATTTATTTTGAGTCTGCAGTCCATACACTCATTGTGCGCATAAAAGCTTGCAGGGTCGTATATCAATGGCAACTCCGTGGCCGTATCGATAGCGGCATTTCCGCACCACAGGTCTCCATGAACGAGAGCTGGCTTGATGGACCGTCCATCGGTCTCCATGGGCCGTAACAATCGAGGAATAACTTTCTCAATCATGGCAGTGTCCAGGCCTTCCAGCTCGGGCCACCGGCCCCCACGTTTAATGTTCATATTGATCATGTGTCTGAAGCCGTTAATGAAGAATTCTTCCCAGGTATCAGCGTAGCCATTCTCCTGAGGAAGATCACCGTTGTACGTCACAACGTGAAAGCCAAATTTCCCATTCGGCGATTTGCTCCTCGAATGCAAAAAGGCCACTTTCTCGCAGAACTCAACTGGTTCAGGTAGCTCCTCCGAGAGTTCATAGAACTGACAGAAGTAATAATGTGCTCCTGGAAGAGCTTGGAAGGAGCCATATCCAATTGGTTTGGGAGTGAAGCTACCGACAACGCCGTGGATTGCAGAAGTGGCCTCAAACTCCCCTTTGAGAGCTTCTCTGCCATGGTCCCCTAATGATACCTGTGAAGATGTGGTCAACAAACGAAGGATAGAGCGAACCTAACCACTGATTTTGCTCCTTTCAGAGAAAGCTGATGAAGTATTACCTTCATGAAATATGACTCTAGTTGGCCTTCATCCTCGACATCAATCCGATAACTGTGAGCCCAGGCTGAGGAGCCATGGCTCACAACTTTCAGGGGACGGCGGAATAGGGGAATCTCTATCAGTATCTAGAGGTTAGTTTGCTGGCACGATTACAGTAGGCCGATGAATACTGACCCGATAGAATGGTGGGATCAACGGATGTTGTCGTCGGGATATCGTCTCCCTCGATGACTGAACCCATGACAAACAAGGCTCGCGATCTGGTCGTATGGGACTGCTGTTTCCTTTCAGGTATAATGCAGCTTATGTTTTGAAAGTATATATAGTTGATCTATTATGCTGTTTTCTATCAAACGATCTGGAGAATGGATGACACGCAGATTTATGAATGCCATCTTGAGCCAGCTAAGCGCCGCGATCACCGAGGTGAAACAGTGAGAAGCCGTGAGGGGTTTTGAGCAGCGCACCATCTTCCAGTGTGGTCCACCACGTATCATTGCATATGGCGAATCAGAAATGAAATGGCACTTCTAACTGCGGCTGGTGCTTCCTAGTAAGCTGCACTGACATCGGTAGTGTGACTGTCAAGCGGCAAACGGTCATGTTTAAGTGGCTGTTCGTCACTGCCGTGCGCTAGTATAGGAGCAGGAGTTGCTAGCCGTGCTGGGAGGGGAGGAGCGGTACCCCCCCCTCTTCGTCGCCGGTTTTCGTAAGCGACTTATGTCTCTCACTCCACCCTCGGGGTCTTTTTGGTCCTTGGAGCTGCAAGGTCCCAAAACAAATCGATTCTGGTCTCTGTGAAAAGACCTCTGCCATGGACAGGGTATGACAGATTCTTGGCGGCCTTAAAAGTATTTGTTTGTTTCAGATGCTGATATCAAATAGTTTCGGAGACGATCCACGGCGGAGGAAAGCTTCGGTCGGCTTGAAAGACGACTAAGTGGGCTCACCATTACTCGAAAAGGGAGTGTTGCATACGGGCCTACGGAGACAGATGAGGATCTGTTGGTCGAAGATGAAGACACAAAAGGGCCTTTAGGGCTCAACTTGCTCCATACCGTACCGGAGCCGCATATTGATTTTATCTTTATCCACGGATTGGGTGGAGGGTCGCGCAAGACTTGGTCCAAAACAACCGATCCATATCACTTCTGGCCCAAAGAATGGCTCTCTCGAGACCCAGAATTCGGTCACGTTCGTGTCCATAGCTTTGGATATAAAGCTGACTGGGCCGAAAAGAAATCAAATCATTTGAATATTCATGACTTTTCACTGTCACTTCTCGGGGAGATGCAATGCAGCCCTGAGATTCGTCGGAGCAACGTGAGACCCCCGCCTAGCCAAATAGAGTCCACCCATTAACTGAACGATAGACCAAAATTGTACTCGTTGCACATAGTATGGGTGGTATTGTCACAAAGAAGGTAAGATAAAAACTTCCCAGCTCACCAGCATGGTTGCGTCCTTCTGAGCTCGTATCCCGGCAGGCATATATTATTGCCCGAGAAGACCCTACTTTGAGAGATCTTGCCCATAGAATACATACATTGTATTTCCTAGCAACCCCTCATCGTGGATCTGACCTCACGAAGACTTTGGTCAATATCTTGAAGGTTTCCTTCGGCCACAAGTCCTTCGTAGCGGAACTAGGACGCGATTCCGTCTCCGTACAGTCAATCAACGATAGCTTCCGATATTTCGCTGACGATCTTCAACTATGGTCGTTCTATGAAACCATTCCTTATAACTTCGTGTTGACCAATGCTATGATCGTCGACAAGTCTTCAGCTACTCTTGGCTTATCGAAGGAGCGATGTTCACTCCTCAATGCAGATCATAGCGGAATTTGCAAATTCGAAAGTCCGACAGATCCGAACTATAAAAGCCTCCGAAATGCATTCATCACCACAGTCGATTCTATTCTCACTGAAAGTATGTTAGCGCATAATTATCGAATTCGCTAAGCTAAACTTGCTCCAGTCGCCCAAGTAGTCTGTGAGACCACGAAAAGTGAATCGTCAAGGCTGACTGAGCTTACCGGTATCGCCGAACCCCCCATTGATGATCTTTTCTCTTTGGAGGAGTTACGAATCCCCGGTACATGCGAATGGTTGAGCACAAAAGCCGGATACAAAACATGGAAGTCCGCCTGGTCTCTGAGTCGGCCAATATTCTGGCTCACCGGCAACGCAGGCACCGGAAAATCCGTTCTTTCGAGCTATGTCATAAATGACCTGGAAGAAAGCAACTTCCAATGCAGCTACTTCTTTTTTAAGCAAGGGAACGCTAGCAGGTCTTCTATATCAGAGTGCCTACTGTCGCTCGCCTTTCAGATGGGCCAGGCGGATGAATCTATTCTCAAACGCTTGACCCAGTTCTCTGAGGGGTCTGACACCTGGGAGCAATTAGATGAGAAGACTCTGTGGCGAAAGGTATTTCACGGCGCCATATTTAAGGAGCCTAATCCTGAGCCACGATTCTGGGTCATTGATGCTCTGGAGGAATGCAATAAATTCCCCATTCTTGTCTCCCTGCTCGCCAGAGCACCCCCATATCTGCGCGTATTCCTTACAAGCCGCCATCTTCCCGAAGTATATCAATCCATCACGTCGCATAACGTTGCCATTGAGAATTATTCTGTGCAAGAACAGGACACGCTCACCGATCTAGGAATTTTCATTGATTCCCGAACTGATTCCCTTCCTGCTGGAAACAATGGCAGCCATAAGAACCTACGTGACAAGATTCTCGAAAAGGCTAACGGATCTTTCCTGTGGACATCCCTCGTAGTACAAGAGCTTGAGGGAGTTTATTCAGAAGAAGCAGCTGAGGAGGTATTGAATGAGGTACCCGCTGATATGAATAACCTATACGCAAGAATGTTGGAAAACATTCCTCGGAAAGGCCATAAACTTGCGCGATCGATTTTCGTTTGGACGTTGCTTGGGATGCGACCTCTGTCGCTGGGTGAGCTAAGCTATGCAGTCAAGCTGGACACCAATGAGACTGTCCACAACCTAGCCAAAGCTATTATGGCTATCTGTGGACAACTCGTTGGGGTGAGTCAGAAAGGCTGGGTTCAGTGCATTCACCAGACCGCAAGAGCGTTCTTGCTGCAGCAAGAACAAGTTCCGGCTTTGGCTCTAAATAAGCCAAAATCACACGCAAGGCTCGCAGAACTATGCTTGACAGCTCTCAACATGAATTTCGGCCCAGGGGCCAGGCGACGAAAATCGAAAACAGTCAAGGCCTCCGCAGATTCTGTGGCAGATATCACGGACTACGCTGCGATACATTTCTCTGACCACCTTCGTAAAAGCTCCTCGGAAGACCCCAGGAGTTGGGCTTTACTAGCAGAATTCTTTGATAGCAATGTCTTAATGTGGATCGAATATCTTGCGGAAACAGGGAGACTGCAGCACATCACGAGCACAGCCAAAAACCTTAAATCGTACCTAATGCGCCGGCTCAAGCACATGCAGCCTTTCTCGAATGAAAAGGAGAATCTGGAGGTTTGGATTCATGACTTGATAAGGCTAAATGCAAGATTCCGCACAGCCCTAGCCATTTGTCCATCGGCTATTCACAATATCATTCCTGCACTGTGCCCGTCAGAATCCATGGTGTCAGCCATTTATGCCACACGCCCCCGCGGGATTGCTGTCAAAGGGCCGGTAGAGCGGACATGGGATGAGTGCTTAGCTACGATCGACTACAAATCAGTCCAGACAAGCTCTGTCGCTCACGGTGACTTCTATTCAGCGGTCGGCGCTTCAGATGGAGCAATCTTCCTCTACGTTCGTGACTCAACTGAGACCACAGCTACTTTGTTCCATGGGGAGCGGGTCAGGGTGCTTGTCTTTAGCGACGATGATGCGTATCTTGCGTCTAGTGGCCCACGTAAGGTTATAGTATGGGACCTACGTACTAGGAAGCAGCTATGGTCATTCGATGTGCAACATCAGCCTCTGACCCTTGCGTTCAGTGAGAACAGCACGCTCCTGGCTGCTGCGACACAAGGCAACTATACAATAACTTGGGACTTACAAGAGGAGCAAATTGAAGGCGAGACCTGGTCCTGGATCCGCAGCTTCCATGAAACGACAGGCCAGGCTAAGCCAACTCAGCCCCCAGGAAAAGCTCTCTTTTCGGACGATTGCTCTATGTTTGCAGTCAGCTACAGGGGTAGACCGGTTTATTTATTCGATATGAAGTCAGAGACCCTGGTTGGGTCTTGCAGCAGGAACACGGGCGCGGTCGCAGGAAGGCAATATGTTGTCGACGCACTGGCTTTCAACCCAAACCGGGAGATAAGCGCTCTTGTTGTGTCATATGGCGATGGGGAAATCGTAGTCTATGATTTATGGTCTGCAGAGCCTCGGTACCAGACTCCAGATGTCTTCGCCCACACACTCGCATGCTCACCAGATGGCCGTACCCTTGTCACTGGTAGCTCTAGAGGCACTATTCAGATCTTTGAATTTTCGGGGGCCCAGGGAACGAGTCTCACATTAGTATATCGGATTAATGCATTTGAGGAGGGGATCCGTGGAATCGCATTCAGCAGCGATAGTTTGAGGTTTACTGACATTCGAGGCTCGCAATACCGGATCTGGGAGCCTGCAGTGCTTGTTGGTAATGACTATGATGAAGGCAGCCAAAGTGAGCTTAGCCAGGCAATTACTTTGAAGCCCAAATCTGTGGGTATGCTCGAAGGGCCCCCGGATCCCGAAATCACTATTATGTGCACCGATTCCAGCGGCAGGTACTTACTGTACGGAAAAGAGGATGGTGTTGTCGCATCTTTGAATGTCCAGGAAGCTAGTCATCGAGAGGCCCTCTATCGACATGCGCTGAATGTGAGAGTGACTTGCATTGCATACTGCGACCAGCTTGGCGTACTGGCTACAGCAGATGAATCAAGTCGGATTATTGTGAGCACTCTCAAGTTCACAGCTACTGGGGTCGAAGCGCTATCCATAATGTGCGATATGCGTTCGGAGGAGCCCGTTCAGGCTCTTCTTTTGGACCCAAGTGGAACGAAATTACTTGTCCAAGGAAGACATTCGACTCGGATCTGGAAAATTCTTGGTACCAAAACAGACATCGAGATAACACTCCCTCACCTCGGCAGTAGCTACAAATTTACCAATCATCATTCGTCACCCAGTCACTTTATTGCTATATCTCCGCATTCTACTGAGATATTTTCATGGACCGACGTCATGAGCTCCTCTGGTGAAGCCGCTGGCAGAAAGGCACCGCCCAATGAAATTCACTGGGTATCCCACGCTTCGAACCAAGTAGCTAACAAGAACCAGCCTGGTCAAAGTCTTTCTGTCCAGTTTATCGTCTCTCTGTGCAACTTAACTGCAATCTCTGAGGAGTCTTCTCAGTCAACACTAATGGTTTGGGAGGCCGCTCATATTCCAACGGACGGAGACTGGCCCAGCGAGCTTTATCTGCCCGGATTTGAGCGCATATCGGCCAGAATAACTCAAGTTATTGGGGTTACAGGGAGTCTTGTTTTGTTTGTGGATAGTGATCACTGGGTCTGTAGTGTGGATGTGAGACAGTGGGGTGCTGCGGGACAAGGCGCGTGGAGGCATTTCTTCCTGCTACCGGAGTGGAAGGGAAACAACCGGGAATTCCTAGTCGAGTATATTCCTAGACGACGTGAGTTTGTAGTCGTTAAGAAACATGAGGTACTGGTCATCAAGCGGGGGTTGGATGTTGCAGTGCCTTTAGAATGACCTGCGAGGAAATTCTGATATCGAATCGGACAAGACAGGAGACTTGAAATTATTTCCCAATGAGGACTACAAGCCCGCAGAAAAATTGGTGCGTCGTTGCAAGACATGTCCTGCAAGTATCGCCAGAAAAATCATGGTGTAATTTTTTTTTTTTTTTTATTTATTTATTTATTCTTTTCAGCTGAGACTTTTTTGAGTCTCTGTCACCTACTTCAAGCTCCATCTTGTTCTCGACAAGCTATCGGCTGGTCACCCGGATCACCCGTCATCCGTGCTTCACATATCATAGGTCTGGAAGGAAGAACGGGTTCCTTGGCTCATATATCTGCATGCCTTCGCCTCTAGCTAAGAGATAGCAAAAATGCCACCAACATAAATGTGCGGATGATAATTGGCTATACCCCCCTGTCAGGGCACAGGGCTGACATGCCGACTCCGATCCCGATTCCGGCTCCGGCCATGAGTCCGACTCCGGCTCCTCCGACAGCAGTGCTGATTGGCCCGGTCGAGGTCGGTTCTATCTCTATCACCATCTATTGTTGGTACTTTGTCTGGAGCCTTGTCCTGCTACTCTTGAAGGATCAACCGCTGAAAGTTTTAATAATCTGTCTGTTTTCTTTGTGAAATGGATCAACTTGATTTCTCCTGTCACTCCGTTCCATGGTAGTCTGACGCGTTGTCTCTTACTGAACTGGGATGCACCGACAACATCGGAGACGACATGCCTGCGCCAGGTGCATTCAACTTAAGGTGAAATGTGTTCCGACCCGAGACTCGGTCCGAGGTACACCGAGTTGTGAACGATGTATGCGGCTCTCCCAGCCTTGTATGGCCCCGGAGACTCAAGGACCTGGCAGTCACAGGTCAGCCTCATCACATTTTCAGGACACTATATGAGGCTGACGCTCTCTTTTTAAACAGGAAAAGCCGCATTGACAGTCTCCAGGAGCAAGTGGACAATTTAGTCACTCAGGTGGCATTAATGAAGGTGCTTGCTCCAACCCTCGGTAATGGACCAACCTATTGAACCGTCCTTACCAGCATAATAGAGATAACAGTCCACCTGCTCGATCATTGAACTACCAGTATCGCCGCAACGGAGATGAATCGGACCATAACTACAATCATGGGATACAGATTAGAAACTCACCGTCAGGGGCTGATACGGACCTGGACTTTATCTCTCGTGGGCTTTTCACTCTCCTAGAATGTGAAGAGCTTCTGGCAAAGTTTCGCTTGCATAAGATGGTCCAGTTTCCCTTCGTGATAATCCCCACTCACCTGGGTGTTCCGACACTTCGGCGACAATTTCCCTTCCTCCTAATGTGCACCATCACTGCCTGTCTGGAGCACAAAGCATCGTTACAGCATGGCATGGAACAAGAAGTCAGGGAATTTATTGCCACCCGCTTGGTCATCAACTCTGAGAGGAGTTTGGACTTGCTCTTAGGACTTTTGGTCCACGTTGCCTGGAACCATTATCACTGGCATATCCATGATTCCCAGGCTTCTATGTTTCTGCAAATGGCGGTCATGATCGTCGTTGATCTAGGTTTAGACAAAGGAAACTTCGCCATGCAGGCTTCCCCGCCTATCAGCTGGGCCGCTGATCAGCACGAGAAGGATAGTAGTTGCTGGATCTCAACGGCACAGCGGGCTTTTCTCGGATGCTATTATCTCTGTTCGAGGTGAGTCAAAATTAAGACTCTCTTCTGTCCTGATATTAGCTTACGTATGAATATCTATAACAGGTCATTGTTCTTTCGCGGACAATTAGCTATGAGACATACTGAGTGGATTAAACGGTGTACCGAGGTACTTGCACAAAAGGCAGAATATCCTAGTGATGTATTGCTCGGGGTGTATATTAAAGAGTATACACTCTGCGAGACGAATAGGTCGCTTGTTCTGGAGCATTTCCAGGGAGCAGATAAGAGCATGGCGTGGAAGGAGCTGTCAGAATCCCTCGCACTGCAACAACGGCATACAGAAGGCTTTCTCCGTAGATCCAATCTCTGGGATAATTGTGAGTTATCCTCTGATATACTGCTGTCCCACATACTAACGTTTCCCAGGGGCTGTGCGCATAGAGCTTAGTGCAACATCAATGCTAGTTCTTGGACGGCATAAATCCATTCACCACGACAATGTACAGCGACTTCAAGCACTATGCTCATCAGCACACGATACTATCAACAACTTCCTCGCAATGCCGTCACCAGCGCTTGCTCACCTGCCCGCTTCATCATACAATATACTCTGGTACAGCCTTCTGCTTCTCTCCAGGCTTCGCTTACTATTCCATGCGCAGCCCAAGATTTCTGGTATCAAAAGACACGACATACACACCCTCGGACTTGCTCTGATGAAGAAAATGGAAGGGCATTTTCGAGAAGGTGACGCGTTAACGAACTGCAAAAACGTGCTGAGAAGCATGTTGGTTTGGCTGGAAAATGATGCAAGTGAGCAGCAACAAGGGCAGGTCGATCTCTCGGCACGGGGATCAGAATATGAGCACGAAAGTACTCGGTTGCATCATTCTGGACATCCCGAAGGCGACAGGAATTCCCGGGAGGCCGCTTTATGGGGTCAGATGCTTGAGGATCTTGACTGGCTCGAGGGCCCATCCTGCTTCGTTGTTCCGTAACATTATGGTAAGAGCAGGGCAATATAACTCCATTAATACGTCCCCCACTATATTCTCATGTACTATAAGAGGCGCGCTTCTCGGTTAGGGATTAGTGTAACTATAAATGCAACAAATTGCTGATTTATAAGGAACGAATCAAGAGCTCCACAGCTACTAATTGTTTCAGTGAGCTTGACGGGCTTTCTGCATAAATCGTGCCGATCCACTCGGCAACCCGATTCATAGCTAGCCGTGGGAAGAGGGAGACGCGGCACGTCTCTTTCCCCACTGGCTTCTGCGCACAACCAATGCTGATATCAATTATCAAGACATTGCAGGAATAGAGACAGGGTCGATTCAATTGTATGTATGTAGCATCTATCCAGTCGTTCAGGAAAGGTTCTCTACGGTATTGCAGCATGATTCCTCTACAAAGGTCTTTGTCTTTGGAGGCATCGTTACAGTAAGCCTGTACATCAATTTAACAAACAACGCATCAGGGTAGCTCAATCTACCTATCCGCTCATCCCTTGTATCAGCTTGATGGACTAATAATTTTCTGATTAGGTGGTCTTCCGAGCCTTCAAGTGCGTCTAATCCTGGTCCCATCTAATCGTACACCCAACGCCATACACAAGCAAACGGCTGTGTATCAGTCATTACACGGAATGCCTGTACTCTGATTTCAATCTTATCAGGAAGAGCATCCCCCGAACCTTCTGGACCCTGGTAGTTTTTCCATTTATCCCAATCGCCCCATTCGTTCCAAACTACTTGTTCCACATTGTTCCTATGGTCCAAGCCGTCCTCCTTTCTGAAAGAATTAGGGAATCTCTCAAGAGTCTTTGAATTATTGCCGCACCTCTCTTGAGTCTTAGATCGGACTATCAGGTTCAGATCGTTTTGGAGTGCCGCACCGGGAGAGTCAGAATATGCGAGGGTAACTTTGAGAGCAACGTTTTTCTTTGTTAGTACGTCTGGAGGTACGGGCAATGACTTCTCAAAAACAATATTCAGATCGTCGATGAGAGTTGCCTCACTAAAGCCTCCTTCTTTGGAATCATTTATGGGAACCAAAGAGTTATTGAGGTTAACAAGGCCAAAGCCACTATCAGAATTTGGACTGTCCTCCAAGATATCTTTATAGTGTCCCGGTATGCGAGTGGCCCCGTTGATGATGAGGGCCTTGATGAGGGCCGCGGAAGGGTTTGATGTACCACATTCGATGAGAGCTTGACGAACCACAGCACAGCAACTTGCGACTAGCGGAGTGGCCATACTTGTGCCAGTCATGAACATTAGATTCTTATCGTCGCTTATACCCCAATTTGATTTATCCTCGCAAAGGCGAGAGCGAACAGACAACACTGCTGTGCCTGGAGCAACAACGTCAGGCTTATAACGACGCTCTTCAGTGGGTCCGCGGCTGCTTAGCGCTGCCATTGCGCCTCCCCAGGCCATATGGCGATTCTTGATGGGGTCATTCGGAAATCTCTGTCCGTACCAAGTACCCCATGTGTACATTCTCCCCTGGTCGGAACCCCTGATCTTGATATTCGGTAGGCAGTTTTCTGATGCGCCAACCGTAATGCAGTTTTTTGCCACGGCTTCAGTTGAATATATCGTCTTTGGGTCAGCTTCCCCGTTGGGAACCTGGGAATCTTGCCCATGGTTACCAGCTGCGAAACAAATTACCATATCTTCATTTTCTCGCACAAACTCATCGACCCTCCTGCTATTACTTGAGTAATAATTGACATTTCCCATGCTATCGTGTCCCCACGAATTTGTGTGGATCCGAGCATTATCAAAGTGATAGGGATGCTTGAACAACTCGTAAAGGTCGGCTGGGACAGCATTGAGGGCGTCGTTTGTTATTGTGTCGTGAATCGATTGCATGACTAGTTCGGCCTCACACGCAGGGGCCTCGAGAGATGCGTAGAGGGGAAAATCACTAGTAATTTTTCCCAGTGCTATGCCACACACATGAGTCCCATGTCCTGAAGTATCACTGGGGTCACGGTTCGGTGAGTTCTTTCCTGCTTTGAGCGCATAGAGCTTCTTGACTCGATCGCGAAATGGTTCCGGGATGTCGTCAGTCTTCCCTTTATCAAACCCACTATCTGCCACCGCTATTACCTGGCCTTTGCCTTTGTACGAAACGTCAGATGCGCCAATAATGCTCTTAACATCGTAGGCCACGTCTCCTGCTGAAAGGGGTTGATGGACCTTGGAGCTGTCATTGTAGAGCTTTGCTGGATGGTGTGGCTCAATATAACGGACAGGACTTAGTGCTGCAATTTTTTCCAGAGCTTGAGGTTTAACAGTGAGCCTGATATTGCGTAGACCACCCTGAACTTTGTGTTAGCGTATATTTCTGTCCGGCTATGGCTGGATGCGGCATACCTGAATCTTATCCGGGGGTACCCCAGCGGCAGTGGCGATGTCGTTTTTAATTTTGTCGTTTGACTCATATTGGTCATGAAATGTGATATCAACAGTGCAAGTTTTGGCATCTCTGGTATTAGAAAGATCCTTATTGATAGTGTCCTCCTTCCTGTATTCATATGCAGCACAAATGAACTCCTTCAGCCGACGAACTTCACTCAGGTCTGAGCCGTCGTATTTGCAGATATATGCACCATCGCAGACGTACTCTTGAATATGGACACCGAGGCTTTTCAGTCTCCGCTTTTCTGGCTTGCCTAGAGAGGCTCCGTTTTTGAGTTGTATCAGAATGGACTCGGGCTTCTCAGGCAAGTTTTCCGTCGTCTGAGCAGGCGGCCCGCTGGTAATTGGGTCATAAACGTGACCATTGATACGGACGTCGGGCATTTCGAAACAAGATGATGTTGCACTGCTTTGTGGCTTTGTATCAGCACTGCGACGTGTTAGTTCGGATATGTAGACTCATGATACATTTTCGTGATACGGGAGCTTTAAAATGAACTTGACCAGAATACTTGATACCGTTGAATGAGACAACGATTCAGCTGTAGCTTCCAGAAAATATCAGTCAAACGATACAACTTATACAGCCATCTATTGGCTTCCAACCAATCCATGGTAGCACGCATACATCATTCCAACCTCTTGGGGACTTCTCGCAATGTGTCATGTAGTGAGGCAAAGCCCAATGGCCACGTACGTGTGCAACGATGTATATCGGGCAACAATATAGCCCTCAGGGACAGGGCCCTGGCAGACAGGATGCCACAGAAAATCCACTATATCTCTTTTGAAGATATAAGCATAAGTCGGAAATTTGTTCAATTCAACTTGGGAAAGGTGGGCACCAATGATCGGTCGGTGTGAGGAAAGAATGAAAGAAGTTTGGAAAATAAACTGCTAGATCGCCTCACCTCAGACTCATATTCTTAGATATGCACTACCCCGCAGGGCCCGCTGTGGCCACGTCATAGATGGGTAGCCTCGAAGATGTGTGCTCGCTGTTTATTATCATAACTCGGTCAACAACCTCACCCATACAAACGGGCTTTTTATCACCAGACTAAGCTATTCTACGGCACCGAAACGTCTTCATCTCGATTTCTGGCCAACTAGTGAAAGGGGTGGCCTCAATCACTGTTTTCCAGGGTGGCTGCTACTACACAGAGACATATGGAAAGCAGATAAGTAAGTAGAAAGAACAAAATAATGCATGGTATCTATTCGAGGATGACAATCATTATGCGGCTTGTGAGCCATCGACACGTAGCCTTTGTCTTGTTGGCATCTTGTAGTGTCCTCGAACCATTGATCCGAATATCCGTGCATCTAAAAGGGAAAGTATAGCGTAATAATAAATACAACAGTAATATAATTCGAGGCATCCATGCATCAACATGAGTTATTCTTGCGTTGCAAATCAAGCATGCATGTCGACATCATAGACGACGCCCGTGTTAGTTGCTCACTTGCATTATGCGGCATTCATCACGAAACTAGGAAATGTATGCGCCGTTATTGGCCTTACTATATCTTCCATTTGACCCAGCTCTCCAATAGAGAGGCTTCGGGAATGACGGACCTTATCGGTCACACCTATCGTTCCAAAATTGGCTGGGCAGGCCCTGTACAAGAAGGTCCGAGCACTAGTTCACATTCTAGTGTGTCGTACTTATGACTTGCTAGACTGAGAATTACCAGCTTACTGGATTAGATGATATGACGAGGCTGGCGCAGATAGTGGTGGTAAGCCAGTATTGTTGATTCATGGTGATTTTGTACCCGGCCACCTGTCTATCATGATCTTGAGATCGAGGAGTTGATTTATCCCAGTGCCTTACCTCTCATTATTACACTGCGGAATTTGCTATGCTGGCTGGGCCGTCATTGCTCAAAAATGGGGCGACTTACTCCCGTGGACATAGCCGTAGAATTCTCGAATTATACGATGGGTGAAGTTGGTAGGCCCGCTTATATCTTGATTAACTGTGATTTTATCTCCTGTGTTTACTGCACATAACATTGTATCTTTAGTTGATCAACCAGAAGACAACACCCCGTTCTTGGCAATTTGTCATTTCTGCTGAATGCCACATATACGAGAACCCTATACCAGAACATAGACCGATACATGCAAGGTGAAAAGCCGAGTGAGTTGAAATATTGCCATGTTGGACATGGTATAAGGTTATCGCGGCAGAATCGGCTGAAATCAATAGTCACTTCCAGATGTGCCGCCCCCAGATATCATTGGACATTGAAACAGATGCGTGCCTGAGTGCATCCCTAGACGAATTTCGTACTGCGAGCGAGCTCCTATAATGGATGCAAGCGGCCCTAACTGGGAATGACTGTAGCAGGTAATAGTGACCACTTCCATTCACGGGCGGGGAGGGGCTAACCAACAGATGCGGGGATATAACACCACCCGTTTGAGTTATCCTCCTCCTTACTTGTATTAGAAGTCCATACAGGAGTATCCATGGTAGGATCTGTGTATCCTTTTGTAGAAACCTTACCTCGACCGTCTGCGCTTAGATCTTTTCCTTTTATCAAGATCCTCGAAGTTTTTGACACTGTTCTAATTATTGTAGGCCAAATGGTTTGTATGTGCCAGGGTGGATTGCATCAAGACAGCCTGTGATTTATGCCAGAACAATATGATGCCGGCATCCCGTCTAGCCTCTAGCCGCCCTCTGTAGAGGCTTCGCAATGTCGCTCAGTTACCGAAGATAGCAAGCATAGCTTGGCTAATCTGTTACACAATTCTAGTTCCACTCAAGGCTGCCCATGCACTGATGCTCGTACTTCTTGACCTGACCTTGTATTGATCCAATGTACTACACTCGAATGCCTCGGACCATTCAAATAAATCAAGTGAAAGAGTCTTATTCCGTTGTAGTCAGTTGAGCCCTTTGCACTGGTTACGCCAGGAGGTATGCCCGACGGTCTCTTAGGAGAGAAATCTCTGTCTAGTGGCTATATGTCAGACAAATGAGCTGGAGTCATGTCCTGACTCCCTTACCCCAAGGTGGTCTACTTGCGCAACGCAAGATATGCATGGTCCCAGCAAATTGGAATATTACCTCATTGCAGGGGATTACCCTCACGTACCTACACGACTATGCATGAGCGCAGTCGAAACCCACGTAACCCCCTCATGAAATCCATCTTTTCTCCCAGCGCTGACTTTGTTCTATCAGCACCTAAGGCCTGGATAGAGCAACAAGTGACAACAATAATAGGCAAGCTATGCATGGAGCTAAATGGCCGACAAACGAAACGGGAGGTAGCAAGAAGTGTGGAAGTGCATAGAAAAGGGCTTTCCAGGGCAGGGCAACAAATCATCTGGCTGCAAACGAAGCGCAGCCAATCGAAACGATATCCTTGACTGCCGACAGTCGAAAATATATCTTGTATTTGTGGCCTTAGATAACAATACTGCCCAATATGACTGCATAGTTCGGTAGCAAATATACGACCAAAATTTCGTGCCCTCATCCATAAACCTAGCTAGAGGCCAGGACCGAAAAGATAGCCCCAATAGCCCCAAAGGAAGTATATAAAGAGTCAATTCTCTCCGCTATGACTACCTCATGGAGTCTATCGAGCCTGTGTAATTCGACACAATTATCTCCTCTCAACGATACACTTTGACCAGTCATGACACTTTCTTGGGCCCTTACCTTCCTCACACCCTGTAGTGGTCGTGGAGGGTACACCAAACCTCAGGGAACGTTCGAGCCACAGCCCGTTCCAGCCTACCAAGCAAATCGTCAGCGACAAAACAAGTCCATCATCCCGGATGGTCCGTCTAGTATCAGTGCCGATAGTAGGGATATGTATCTTGTGACGCGCATTTTGGGAGGTGCTGCGCTGAATGGTATGGTTGGGGAAGTTGGAAAACACTCTATGAATTTTCTCAAGGCGAATACCGCTCTCGGCATCGCTTTTGCCTCTAACAACGCCCCGGATCCAACGCAACACTGGGGCGTTTTGGTTGGGGACTATGTCCACCAGCTGGGTCTTGATAACGGTTATAACTACTACACCAACGAGAGGTACGGAAACTATGCTGGTTGGACAAAGTACCATATTGGTGTAACCAGATTCAATGATATTGCCATTCGAAACGCCGGTAAAAACTCCATTATTTTGTTTCCCGCACTTACTATTTCCTTCACTTCCTGGCATAAATCGCTCCTGTCTAAATTGATCATCTTTACAGGGATGAATGTTATGAATGAGATACCTGAAGTGTATCACCTTACCGAGAACAACTGCCAGCACGTTGCTACCAGACTCCTGGATAAAGTCTTGCGCGACGGCCGGAAAAGACTCAAAGGCATCAATGGACGTTTCATGTCTGATGATTCTCCGAGCACTGAAAGTAGCGATCAGATACCTCCTCCCATTGACCATAGTGAAGGCCGTGAGGGTGAATATATTTCAGTCAATGACAAAGACAATCTTGTTGCATATGTCTATGACGACGAAGCACACACAAAGAAGCTGGTGGAGGCTGTTCACGTGATGGTTACCAACACCAAGACTATGAAAGTAGAGCCACCGGCCTCTTCTAGTTAATTTATTGCAAGGTGGACATGTCAGGCAGAAGCCTCAGTTTCTTGCGTGGAATTCTGGATGCGTGTGTGGAGAAAAATGGACCGAGGAACATCATATATAAGAACTGACTGTGGGCCTTGTGTACGGAAGGTGACTGTGATATACACGGGCCAGTAGTGTGCTTTCAGACTTTTCCATCAATATGCCCTCAAGCTAACGTTCCGATTATCTGGTAAAAGACTAGAATTGCTGAGTTCGACAGCTCAGAATGTATAACATTACATATGAAACTTTGTGGGTGATAAACTAAAGTCCGGTTAGTAGTAGTATATCAAGCACACGAAAGGAGATGATTTCCGTAACGGCCACGCGATATCCGACGTTTCACGGATTTAACTCTTGCATGGCAACGGGACGACGGGAATCTTGCACCAACCGGGGCCGCTGCCGATCCACTCGCCAACCCGATCCAGCATCATCCGCCGATGTATGACGAAGCCATCGGCAGACGGAGCTAATTTTAAGCTCCGTCTCTTGGAGCTTATATAGACATGAAAGGATCCATTGGAATTGTGTTCCTGGATGTTCCTGGCTAGGGCACTTGCGCTTCAACCATCCATCATGCGTTATTTTTCCTTGGTATCCGCCCTCGCAGCCACCGCGCTGGCCCAGACACCCCCGGGCAGCTACCCATCCACCAACAAGAACTTCGGTGTCGCCTTTCCCAATGCCACTGTGACCCCTGGTACCTGGGTGAGCCCAGATGGTACGTACTCTGTCTTTTCACAGCTTTAAAGCCTTAACACTAATTACATGTGAAGACGTCACCAGCCAGCCGGCCGTGTATGTCACCGACAATCTCAACAAGGATGCCACCTACATGATCTTCATGCTTGATCTCAACATCCCTGATTCGGATGTCACCACCGCCGCCTACTACAACACTCTTGTCCCCGGCCTGGCTGTCAACACCACCACCCGCTTGCACTGGTGGGGTGGCAACTACACTATTCAGAACGGACGCTTCGTCAACGCCAGCGATGCCCTGGCTGAGTATACGGCTCCTCGCCCCCGCGACAGCACCAACCACACCTACACGCTGTATCTTTTTGATCAGCCGGAGGGATATGTGCCTCCCGAGAAGGCCTTGGACGGGACTTATTACTCCCAGACCACGTCGGCGCGGTTCAACTTCACCTTGGAGCCGATTGTGAAGGCCGTTGGGGGGCCAATTGCGGCGAATTACTTTTTGAGTGATGCTTAGACTACGATTTTGTTGAATTTCAAAGCTGGGTATACAAGGTCTGCATGTAAGAGGTCTTTTAAGGGATTCACATCATGCGGCACCTGGTCACGTTTTGTATCAATATATCTTTTGATTTATTAATTGCTACTATGAAGAGGTATACGATGTCGAATAACAGTAACAGTCGAATGATACTAAGATAGGCCTAAGCAACGCTGGCAATACAACCATCAACTGGCCCGCTAAACCTGAAGAGACACTCGATTGTGACGGAAATGAATCGAGTTTGAGCCATCTTGAGCCACTTGAGGGTATCTATTTGCGACAGACCTAGATACTAGACTAACAGTAGTACACAGAGGCGAGAAAAATAGCTCGCTCATGTTTAAAGACATTATGGTAACTGGATGCGAAACATGGCTTTCCAAAATTATGCCGGAAAATTGAAGTAAACCTCTATAACAGACTTCAATGCTGCAAGTATTCTGATACCCTTACGAAGGAATCATGAATATCTAGGAAAGTAGAGGTTAATAAGCATCCAAGTTGTTATGTAAAAGAGCTCATTCAGTTCACTAATCTAAATTGTAAGCTCTCATCTTGAGCCTCGGCAGAGTGGAGGCCACTAATCTTTCTTGGCGGCCTAATAAATGCCCCTCACTGAATCACCATGATGATTATTCAAGATTCCAACTTCTTTGATCGTAAGGTTGCACAACTGTCACTAACTCAGCACTAACAAAGCCAAGTCCATTGTGATAGGGTGGTTCGCGAAACCCATCTGCTTACGCGTGAGACAAACATCTGACAAGGCTGGGCTACCCCTCCAAGCCCATATATTTACCCCAATCTCACCCACTTTTCTACTCCCTCTGTCAATTGCAATTGCCAGCACCTTCTTCCTCAAACACAATGGCATCCATCGTCTACCCCGACCTGGCTAAAAAAGCCACTCTCTCCGATGGCACCACCTACGGATACGTCTCCGTCCCCGCCACGGAGGGAAAACCCACCTTCCTGTTCCTTCACGGTTACCCCTCCACCAGCTATGACTGGCGTCACCAGATCGCTTTCCTGCAGAAAGGGGGATACGGTGTAATTGCGCCCGATTTGTTGGGTTACGGCGATACCGATAAGCCGACGGATCTGAAAGCGTATCGGCTCAAGGTGATGAGCCAACATGTGATCGAAATACTCGATCGTGAGAATGTCTCTCGTGCGGTGCTGGTCGCGCATGATTGGTATGTCCATTTTCTAGATACTACTTATTCTATTGCATCAATGCTAACATACAGAATAGGGGCGTCGGTCTCGCCTCCCGCGTGGCCTATTACTATCCCCAGCGATTCTACGGTTTCGTGAGCATTGCAGTCGCGTATAATATCCCTGGACCGAAATTCGATCTCGGTATGCATCTAAACCTATTATAGCTATCTGATGGATTTTCTGACAGTGATAGACGCTCTCCTCAAACACACCGAATCCATCTTCGGCTACCCCGTCTTCGGCTACTGGCTCTGGCACAACACCGACGAAGCAGCCGATGAAATGGCAGCTCATGTACATCGGCCCCTAATCCCACTCCATCCCTCATCCTTAACTATAAGCTAACTAAATATAGCCCGAATCCGCTTTCTCCCTCATCTTCCCCCAAGACCCTGCGACGTGGAAAACCGACCTCGCTCCCATCGGTAAAGCAGCCGAATGGGTCCGCTCCGGCAAGACCACCCCTCTCCCTTCTTGGCTCACCCAGGAAGACTACGATATCCATCATCGCGTCTTCTCGAAGGGTGGTTACGCCGGCCCGCTGTCGTGGTACAAGGCCGCGATTCGCGGCATCAATACTGAAGATGAAGCGGGCATCGCGGAAGGAGAGGGTAAATTGACCGTGAAGTATTTGTACATCGCTGCTAAGCAGGACTATGTCTGTCGGATGGAGGTAGGATCGCATGTGACGGAAAAGAATACGACGGATTCGAGGATCGAGGTGGTGGATGCGGGTCATTGGGTGCAGCTGGAGAAGCCGGATGTTGTGAATGAGTTGTTGATTAAGTTTGCGGAGGAGGTTGTCACTAATTAGTTTACCTTCTTAGACTGCTTGAGCATGCAGCTACTCATAGGTAATCTATCTACCTATCTATCAATCAATCAATCAATCAATCATGTACATGTCTGCAAACTACGTTCATAATCCGGCATCACCCACTTCACCATCCACTCCGACCGCAGCACCTCCTCCACCGTCAGCCTCTCCTCCGGCCTGAACTTCAGCATCCCCTGCATCAACTCCAAAATAGCCACCGTCTCGTCATCATCAAAATCCCCTATCGTATGCTTTCGTCGATACACCCGCACACACTCCTCAAACGCCCCCTCCAAATCAGCCCATACATACCTCCCCTCCACTGCCCTCCCACTTTCATCAAAGAACCTCCCCCTCTCATCCCACTTCTCGAACCACTCCCACGGCATAGGTCCCAAGACATCCATCCAGTGCGCAATCACCTCATCATACGGCACGTCCGTACTAAACACCACCTGCATCCCGAGAATTTCCCATATCGCCGTAGCCAAACTCCACATATCAGCAGAATACGATAAGGGCGCCTTCGGCTCGAAAATCGCCTCAGGCGGACAGAAAGCCATAGGCGTGTGACAATCTTCCCCAAGACGAGGATTTACTGATGGCGAGAACGTCTCGCCAAAGTCACAGAGAAGGATGCGCGTGTCCTGCAGGGTGAATTCCCCTGCATATATGGCTAGGAAGAGAGTGGATACTGCTTTGGGTGGGACGTTAGGTGAGAGGGTGGATGTGGATCCATCGAAAAGAGTTATGGGGTATATTTCGGGGTTTCCGTATTCTGTGTAGAACTCCTCGATAGAAAGGTTGTCGAGGTTTGTGGGGAGAGTGGAGAGGATGTTGCGGAGGTGGATGTCTTTATTCAGGAGTATCGTTTAGTTTAAGTAATATAGTTGGAATAGATACTTACTAACCTCCGTGAACGTAGCCTTGTGAGTGAAGATACGCAACCCCCAAAACCAACCTCCCACACAACGCCCGTGCTACATCCACAGGAAATAACCGACTATACGACACTTCGCGCAGATTACTTCGCGCTGGGAGCATCGTGTAGCATGTATGCGTCCCGTTTGGACCGGTTACGGTGAATTCATCCAATGGGACGGGAATTGAGTCCCTTCCGGGATGATGAACTGAAGTATTTGCTGTGGACAGTTCTCGCAGCACCCTCACTTCGTTACAGGTTGTATCTGATATAAGGACCTTCAAGGCCACGTAGCGATCCAGCTTTGCATCCCGTGCTAGCCATACGGTTGAGTATCCCCCGTACCCGAGCTTATCTACGATGGTGTATCGCGAGTGGAGGACGTCGCCGATCATGATGGGGTGGTAGCCGCCTGGTTCATAGCGGTCGAGATATTCGGTGTCGTCGATGGGCGTGTATTTAGGGAGTTGGTATTGGGGGTGGGGGGTGGTTGAGTAGGATGCGTTGTGACGCGTGGCTGGGCTGTGTATAGGGGGCTTGACGCGATGGACTAGGGGTGAGTGGCGTGGGAGAGGCCATTGTGGGGGTTTTCGTATGATTCGAAGGATGGGTAGCATCGAATAACGCGTCATAATGATAGATGCAGAGTAGTGTTGATGTGGGAGGTTGTCATGTCCTGTCTGTTGGTATTAGCTATGGGGTGGGGAGTGATGCGGCAGATCTACAAGGGGTGGTCGATCCTCGTGTGTCACCCGTCAAACCCTGGACACAGAACGGCTATTCAGTAGGTAATAGTAAATGTGATAGGCGAAAAATGTCCTGCTAAGAAATGCAAGTCTCGCAAGTTCTTTGGTTAAACGTCCAATTGATCTGCCTCGTTACTTAAAAGCGCAAAATCATCCCCACATCATCCCCCTCTTTATAGAGTAGATCGTCTTCGTCAACATCATCTAACTGAACAAGGTTGAGAATCACCTCCTTGTCTCCCTCACCTCTCCCAACACCACAATCCCCAACTTCCCCCGGTCTGACCATCCCTTCTCATCCTCCTGGATTAATCTCGCAATCTCCGGCTCTCTCACTTTCGCCTGAAACCGCTCAAACGCAGCCTCATCCTCGAAGGTCAATTCCGCTATTGAATCGAATGAAAAGTCACTCTGTTGCCCGAGGAGCACAGTTGTGGGATACGTCCCCTCCGATGAGGGGGTAGTAGGACGATCGATGTAACTTCGTCGATGGGAAAGGGGGAAATCAGGACCCGTAAGATGCTTGACTAGTGCGATGTGCGCTTCAAGACGGGATTTGAATGTTGAGGGAGAGGTTTCTGGTGAGCGAGTCGCCTTGAGAAGGATTTTGAATGGCATTTTCTTGTCTTCTTTCCGGGTTTCTTGTCTTGGCTTTCTTGGTTGTTCTGGTTCTGTTTCAAGAGGTTTCGGGTGTGGACTGTGTTGGTGACGGGGGTGGGATTGATGGGATTGATGGGTCGGTGGGTGGAGATTACCCCCTTGTCCATGTAAGGGGGTAAAACATGGATTGCAGTTGGTAGCTTGGCAGATATGTTACTGTTTACGCCTGGTAGGTAGGTAGGTAGTAGTAGACTAGTATATGTACAAGTATGAAATTTCCTGTCTAAAGGTACTGCAGTTAATGCACATAAAAAGAATTTTCGAAGGTATAGGTCACAGTTGGACAGAAAGGTAGGCAAATGAGCGTAAGAAGGCAATAAGACAAGAGAGTGTATGTGAAGGCATCGTACAGAAACAAGAGAGTGTGTGAAGGCATCGTGCAGAAAGGAAGGGAGGAGGACAAGTTAAAGAGTGGCAGCAAGGCCCAGCTCATGCTCGATTTTGCTGGATTAATAGCAGTCCTGCTAATAAGCAGGAGTTGCTTTGGGCATGACCATCATGGTCGACGGGGTATAGGCAGGATATCCTGGGGTGCGAGAGGGTGTCGCCGCACTAGAGGCGCAGGAGCTAGACGTCTGGCTGGCCGACCACAGTGCATTATCCGCCACACCACCATACCAAATCTGCCACACGGGCTTGTTGCAGGTGTTCTCGTTGTACTGGAACAGCCAGTTGTTTTCACCGTCCGTGCTTGTGGTCGTGTAGTAGTACTCAGCTGGCTCAGCAGACAACCCAAGAACTTGGTTGACTGTTGATGCGATGCGCGAGATCTGAGACGCGTACTTTGCGCCTTGCCCGGTGGCGGCGACAGGCGTGCCAATGTAGATCTGAGTGCCAGGGTCCGGGTACGCGGCGGAACCGGTGAGCTGTGGCAGCTTGAGGTTCGCGTCGTTCGTCAGATAGCTTATGATGTTGGTCTGGAACGCCTGCTCGTTAAAGGCGACAGTGCCGTTCTGGCTCGAGACAAATCCGGGGGATTCCCATAGGTGCGCCTCGTACACAGCGTACTTGGAGACAGCGTAAAGGACAGTACATCCGTGGACATTGGCCTGGGTAAGGCTGCTTGTACCGCTGCCAAAAACGACGGATGTGGATGTGGTTACGCCGCTAGTGCTCTTAACAAGGGGCTGTCCGGTCTTCATCTGAGTGGACATCCAAGTGAGAAAGTCGGAAGCCCTTTGAGTCAACCTTCTGCTGAACAGACCGGACCGTCTGAGTGACGTGCTCGAGGTATCAGTCGTGTCCGTAGACAGGCATTCAGTGCATTGCGGGCTGCACAGCTCCGAGACAGCTGCGCTTGAGCTGGCAGCTGGAGAAGCGGAGGATGAAGTGGCAGGCGAGGTCGTGGTAGTTGAGCCATCATCAGATCCATCTTCGCCAGAGTCGTCGCCGGAACCATCACCAGAAGCGTCACTGGAGTCATCTCCAGTATCGTCGCCAGTATCGTCGCCAGTATCGTCGCC